TTTCTTTTAGTTTCAATAATTTCATACATGTTAGAAAATACAAATAATTACACCATTACTAACACAATTCTATATTAATATTCTTCTAATGGTTAGAAAATACATAAAATAAAACCATTACAAACTCAATCCCAATTTTATATTCTATTTTTAGAAATTTACCGGTGACGTTGATACATTCGTGTGACGCACAGTTCATAATTCTATTGTGGTGTAAATGGAAGGTGTCCGTTGTTATTCTTCGGTTTACATGTTGTAATGTACTATTATATTATTTATCTATGTATGTCTCTGTCCTGAGTGTTCTTGCGTTTAGTTGTAATGTATTCCTGTCACGTAATGTTGTCATTTTAGCGGTATTTTTAACATTGCCATATAAGCGGGAGGTTTGGCTAGCCATAAAACCAGGTTCAACCCACCATTTTTTCTTAAAATGTCCTGTACCAAGTCAGGAATATGGCAGTTGTTATCAAATAGTCCGTTTCTATGTATGTTGGCGTTTGTTTTTGTAGCAGTTCATTGTTTATGTTGTTCCGTTGTTTTCCTCTTATAGTTGATGTGTTTCCCTCGGTTTTGGTTTGTGACCCGGATTTGTTTCAGTTAAATCGATTTATGACTATTGAACAGCAGTATACTACTGTTGCCTTTATTTGAATAGGAGGTAATACAAAACCGAAAACAGGTAGTTTACACCTCATCATTTACGTAGTTGTGACGTCCGTAAAAATATCCTTCTCTTTTGTAAAAGAAACCCACAGATTTTGGTCAATTTATATTGTGATGTTATCAGTTTAGGCTGTATATAACCCTGACTGAACAGTTAAGAGGTCATCACATTTGTCAACGTTGTTTGGCGACTGTTTTAGGTAAAATTTCAGGAAAATGCTAGTTAAAAATTAAAATAATGTTTTAATAAAAAAAAAATCAGATAATTAAGTTTCAATTGGACATAAATTTGACAGCTAATGCCCCTTTAACACGTCATAGTTTAACTATGTTGAAAGTTCCTTATCTGAAAAATTAAGCCTTTATAATATACTTATATCCTGTGTATGAAAAACATGTAACCTTATATTTGAAAATAAAATATGACACCACTTTAGTCACTAACTATTATAAAGAGTAATTTGCAAACTGTCTTAAAAGAGAGTTAAATGTGGATTCATTAGACTTCTAAATAGAATTTATTATACCCTTGTTGTTCAACCATTGCGTCTGTTATTTTAAAAAGATAATATATTTTTGGAAAAGGGGTGAATGATTCTCAATTTATGTAAACTCAGATTATTGGACAAGATTTGTTTCAGAAGGGAAGTTAACAACTAGTTCGTATTAAAAACTGTGGAAAACAAAAAGTACAACATTGAGTTTCCACAAATTTTTTATTTTAAATCGAAGTCAAAAGAAATTGTTTGTCCAGAGAGAAAAAAACACCGATAAAAAAACTAGTATTACTCTTCCACGTATTGAGTGTCTTTACGTGCAATTATATCTTTCTGTCATTTGAGAATTTGGTTTTGATAGCAGATTTTCGATAATCTGGAAAACATTTATTCGCAACTCGCAGAACAAATAAAACCAATTTTATTTGCTAATTGAAAATTAAGCTGAATAAAATCATTTAAGACAGCAGGGAAGATAAGTCTGTATTAATTGTTTATTACTCAGACTTAAATAAAGAGTGAGCTATTTATACTGTAAATTTATGATGTCTCTGTAGTATGTTTATGGTATCAAACTGTCTGTCTTAAATTATATCAAATAGCATAATCACGATTTTAATATCCTTAAATGAGGATGGTTACTTCTTTATAATAGCCCAAATTAAATAAATGTTCGAACAATTGTCTTTCATTAAAAAAATATAATAATAATAATGAAAATTTGTTTTGTCTTTTTCTGTGCAAATTTGAAAAATATAATGTCATCGTATAAAATATATAACATCCAAGATGGTGGCCTCGATGGATGATCACTAAGGCGTGTATCTTAATATTGTCAATCTAACTCAAGAAATTTACCTTCACAAACATCTGGAAAAGTTAAATCTAAAAACGAATCCCATTAACGATAATTTGACAAACTCAATAAGTCTAACTATTTCAATTTTTAGGAAAAATATATTACTTGATGCATCTCCTCGTCGTTTTTTCTCTAAGAAACCCTTGACATGGCCAAGTACTGCGAAAACCACTCTACATTTGAATTTATATTCGAAATAAGGTTTATATACATGAACATAAAAATGTGATCATCACGTAGTTTAAGTGGGTTAAAGGTTTGAGTGGTGTTGCAAAAAAGTAAAACGATGCCAAGTGGGGAAATGAAAAGTATTAGTAAAGTAGAAACGAACCAGAAAATGAAATGAGACGAAATGTAAACTTATCGATCCTTTATAAATAAACTTATTTTTAAAGGTTACCAATTCAACATTAAAATGAGATCTTTGAATATTGATTTTATTGGTATAGATATTGATTTTATTATCAGTAAGTATTATTTTTATATACATATGCACATTCATGGCTCTACAATCTGTCGATACCTGTACCTTGGCATTACACAAGGTCATGTTTCTCTCTGACTAGTTGTTAATGACGTCTTTACCTAAATCCATTGGATGTTGGATGTGTACTGATTAATATTTTAGTCTTAGATGCATGATGTTTTTTTATTAGTTGTTATTGGCTTTGAACTAGCTGTCAGTAAATGCGAGTACTCTCAGATCTGTACTTAGTGTCTTTTTGTTTTGGGGATGTATAAGTACCCTGCCACGTCCACTCTGTGTTTTTGTTAGATGTATTTCTGCTTTGTTTCTATCTGATGAGTTAAGCCCTTTTCAACTGATTTTTATAGTTTGTTCTTATGTTGTACTGTTACAACACTGTCCCATGTTAGGGGATGGTTGGCGCCTTCAAACAAGTTTAACCCCGCCACATTCTGTATGTTCCAGTCCCAAGTCAGAGCCTTTAATTCAGTTGTTGTCGTTTGTTGCTCTATATCATATTTGTTTTTCGTTCATTATTTTGTACATAAATCAGGCCGTTAGTTTTCTCGTTTGAATTCTTTTACATTTGTCATTTCGGGACCTTTTACAGCTGACTATGCGGAAAGGGTTTTACTCATTGTTGAAAGTCGTACGGTGACCTATAGTTGTTAATTTCTGTGTCATTTTGGTCTCTTATGGAGAGTTGTCTCATTGGCAATCATACCACATCTTCTTATTTTTATACTCAATTGCAGATGTTTTAGGTAAACTAAAGATCGAACTAAACGAACTAACCAAAGACCGTGATAAACTTAGTTGATCCGAAAGGGTGAGTATTACCTGCTCCACTAAGATCACCCATTGTGTTGTTCATGACAAGAAAAAAATGTTTTGATGCTAAGTCGTTTAGATCCGTAGACCGAATCTCATCATTGGAGATTTATCAAATTAGAATAAAAATTCACCAGCTGGAAAAAAAAAACACTTTGATTCAAACATTAATTAGTCTTTTCGTCCAGCATTTTCCTGAAGTTTTATCTTTTGATAAAAAGATTTAAATATGTAGGCAAGTGTCGTCACAAAGCGAAAACGGCAGACTCGGTCAACTTTCAGACCAAGGGGGTGGGGGTCGACGGAATGTATACTTTTATCAAAGCTGTAATTACCAGTAAACCGATATACATTATCAATTAAAGACACCAAGCAACGTTTGAACACAAAATTTGCCAAGCGTAATGGTCTCATGACTATCAGTAAGGGTTATATTCAGTCTGTTCTAATCTTTAGTCGATTACTACTTTCCTTGACCGGTTGCATATATTTTTTATAATCATCATATGATTTGTTTGACCTCAGTTCTTCGTAAGTCAATATTCAATTTTGACGTCAAATGTTTTGCTTTCCTTTGAATTTGCTATCTTGACGTCACTGCAAAAGGCGACAAATTCGGATGACGTCAAAAAGAAAGACCACATATCTCTGCAATTTATTGGAAAAGATTGGTAAACAACTTCCTGCATATCGCCGAAAACATTAGAGAAACACTTTCCACCACAGTATCTCGTGCACACGATATTTTTCCAATCTGGACAGTTAAATTTAAATGTTTCAAACGGTCGACAAGCCTTGCGTTTAACATTTGAAAAAAAATAACTGTCTCGTGTGTAGAAATATCGTATCATATTCGATGCAGTGGTAGAATCCATATTTATCTAATTGCATTACTATACAAATTACAACTGAGATGGTGATATAGCAGATTGTTACCCCGAGAAAACTATTGTCAACCGAGCCGAATTTTGTATGTGTGTGTGTGTGTGTGTGTTAGTTTTTGTATGTTTTTTTTTATAGATTGCACTTGGTTCCTTTTAATTTGTCTCGTTTAGTTACTGTCCGCTAGTTTTTTTTAATTCTATGTTTCGTTTAAACCGTTAAACTTCTTGTATTTAGTTTGATATCTCCTTATTGCAATGTATAAATGACTTCGTCACAGTGGCATGCCACTCATTTGGGGGAAAATAGATTAACAAGAACAACCAGCAATGGTTTTAAAAATTTAGCTGATAGGCTAGAATATCCAAAATAACTACCATATTCTGATCTATTCTAAAAAATGAAAAATTCACTAGTTTTATTCTTTTTTCCGCGTAGAAATATTATAAATCGGATTCAATTCGTTATATATAGTATTGTTCCACTACGCGCTTAAGTATACGCAGCTGCAAATGAGAAATTATCCACTAGGATATCAATTGAGGAATATATAATGGAAGAAATAAAAAGAGAGATACGAACTGGCGGCAAATGGGTGAAATCTTTCCATTTAGATTAATATATTAACTCCAATTAACTTCAAAGTGTTTTTATAATAAGTTCGTTTTGCAGTTCACAGCTGTAATTACAAAAAGTGAATGTTTTAGGAAACCGTTGATTTAATCCTTAAAGTTTATTTTTGCGTGGTAAATTAAAGATCAAGGACATTTACAGACATTATATATATATGTATATATATAAACATGCTTCATTGTTTCTGCAATTTCTATTGAGTTGCTAGCGGATACTTCTTGTACTTTTTAACACCATGATATCTGTGCAAATATTTCTGTTGATCGTCGTTGCTGTCGTAAATGCAGATGTGTGTGGAGTGCAAAAAACAACCTGTTGCTGTGAATCACAAGGTAGAGTTTATTTGTGGGTTAAATGCACGGTCAGTTAACAAGACTATATATTAATCACCAATCATTTATTTTTGCGGTGTCATGTTTTTATTTCTTGGTATTTTTTTTCAACTTAATCTAAACACTCGATTTTTTCAATACATGTTATATACATATATATATACTAATTTCGATAGAAGCAAACTTTTTTTACGTCCTTTCTGAAACATTTTTTCTAGAAATTTAAAATCGAACAATTAATTAGTTATATGGTGAAGCTTTTCCCGAAACCCAATGTCTCTCATACTTTTGCAGCTGCCAGAGAAAAAGTATCAAGTTGACTAGTCAAGCCAAAAATTGAGTTCATTTTTAAGGATGTTCGCTCCTCTGTTTCCAAATAACAAGCGTTTTGAAAGACTGTAATAATTTGATAGTATATAAACAAAGGAACTTAAAAAGCAGAAAAAAATGGAAGGTCCGTGTCATTGTTTTTGAGATATAATCAATTGAAAATTTGGCGGGAAATGATTCTCGCTAGACTTTTCATACATTAAACATTGGCACATTTTTTCTTTCAAAAACTATTAAAAAATAACAAGGATTTTATAAGATTTTCAAAAATGGCTTTTTAAACTATATGTTATAAAATTATGAAAAGAAAAGTAGGGGTTAGCGAGCAAAATTTTTATTGGCACTACATGGATAAAACTAGAGGATTCCGAATATTTGACAAAAAGTCAAAAACAAGATCCTTAAGTAAAATTCGAATGTCGGTAGTTAATTACATGGCGTCCAGTTAGGAATACACACGAAATGTTGATACTTTATAACGATCCCAGACACTGTGCATGGTCTATTGAACTTATGTAGTTCTTAATTACGTTTAAGCATATATTAAATAAAATTTGAGAGTTTGAATAAATTCGGCGGGCATAAATTTGGCAGCTATTGCCCATATACCTGCAAAAGATGTCAATTGATCAGTAAAATTTTGAGAAAAAAAAAACAATTTTCAAAATTTTGCATCAAACATTATCTCTTAATCATAAAGAAAGCTTCTGGCAAAGTTTCATAAAATTCTATGAAGTTTTGACAAAGTGATTGATGCCATAAAAAACTTTAACCACAGACTGCTTTAAATGTTAACTGCCAAAAAACTTAGTCCTTTCAAAAGTAAAATACGGAAAAATAGATTAAAAATTTTCAAGATTTTGCTCTTGATACTGCATTTTAATCCATGAAAAGCTTTTGTTTAAGTTTCATCCAATTCCATGAAAGTTTGAAAAAGTTATTGATGTTTAAAAAACTTGAAGTACAGGCTGAACCTATAAATGTTTACGCCGCCGACGACGACAACAGAATGTAGTATGGATATGTCTCTTTTCCACGACAATATGTCCCGTGCTCAATAACAACAAAAATCCCCCTCCCAATCTCACCGAAAAAGAAGATGTATTGTACTCATAATCTGTTTAGTTCAAATCATAACCGTACGTAAAAGGATCAAAGCTACAATAAAAATTCAATTAAGTTGAACGACGTCTTTTTTAAAAGCAATTTAAAAACTTTGCCTTAGAACATATATTTACAACTGTTCTTCCAATCAAATTGCTTTAATTTCACTTCTAATTTTCATAGTACATAGTTTTTCTGTGTACTAAGTTACTATGCATGGATGAACACAATGGTAAGCTTTCATTGTGTTATATCAAGAAATTAGCAACAATAATTAAGTGCCACCGGCTTTTTTGGAATACCGTTTTCTGTTCAAAATTTAAAAATTGTAGGTAACTTGTTTACATAATGATTTTTATATATCTTACTTTTAAAATTCGTGGTTTTCATTTAAAATATTTAAAAAACACAGATTCTATCACTCAATATAAGAAATGAAATAATTGTTCTGAATGCCTTGATTAGAGTACAATGATATCTGAGTGTGGTCTTCCATGCTGGAATTTATTACACAGAAAAAGTATGTTCTATGAAACTGTATGAAAGGAAACTCAAGCAATTTGTATGGACCGGGAGTAGTAAATATACTTTGAAAAATATTATTATAATGTTACATAAAAATAAAGTGATGATAACGATAATTTTATTAAAACATTCGTAAGGAATTTAATCCGTTCATCAGGTTAAGCACTTTAATAATGTATGAAGGATATGCACCAACTAAATCTGTATTTTGAGAAATTAACATAGCTTTAGTTTTACTGTGAAATTGAAAAAAAAATCAAACATGCCATTACTATCTTTTTATACAAATGATATATTATAGATAGTTGATTTTTAGCTCAGCTGGACCAAATGGCCAAGTGAGCTTTTCCCATCACTTAAGCGTCTGTCGTCGGTTGTCCGTCGTCCGTTAACTTTTACAAAAATCTTCTCCTCTGAAACTACTGACCAAATTTTATAATACTTGGCCAGAATCATCATTAGGGTATCTAGTTCAAAAATGTGTCCGATGACCCCACCTGCCAACCAAATGGCCGACATGGCTAAAAATATAACATAGGGGTAAAATGCAAGTTGTGTCTATTATTTTGAAAACCGTTATAAAAAGAGAAAATCTGACTAGGGCAAAAAATGTTCAGAATGTTGAGTTCTACCAATTGATCATTTAAGTCAAAACTGTCATGGGACTTCTTATAGGAGTTATATCCCTTAAATGATAAATTTTATTTTTGCCTATTATCTTGAAAACTATAAAAGATAAAGAGAAACTTTAAATTGCAAAAAATGATCAACAAGACAAGTTCTACAAATAAGTCTGCATTGACGAAATCGTTAGTTGACTCCTTATTAGAGTTATTGCTCTTTGATGACAAATTTTACCAACCAGTAGTAGATCGATACAATGTTGACACCTTTTGTTATAATTAAATTTTCTAAGCACCAAATCATTAATTGTGCATCAATGTGAGTTTATTTTTATTTCTCTATTATGCATAATAAAGACTGTTTGGTGTGGAAACATAACTCGTTTATTCAATAAGCGTGTGTTGTCCATTATAAAAATTATTTATTTAAATACAAATTGTGAAATTATTTTGTCCACAAAACAATTCTCTTATTGGCGATATTGGCATAGACCCCCCCTTTTTTTTCTCTCTATCTGATGTAACGTTTTGTATGTAAATTTTCTTTAATATTTCAACTAATTTACACCTTGTTAGCCAATAAAGGCGTTGTCAGTTTTCATAACTTTCTCCGACTTATGAGTTTTGAATGTCCCCTTGGTATCTTCAGTCTCTTTTTATAAGAAAGACCCAGCAGACTGCTGCACCATCAAAAATAAGAATATAAAAGATGATTTATCATTTCTAATCAATTAACGGAAGATCATGGCTTTCATGGCTTATGACCGGCACTATAGGCTTCTAATTTATGATCTACAGAATTGGTGGAACCGTATTGTCCGGACTTCTATTGTTTCCCACAATCCTTTCAATATAAAAAAAAGAAGATGTGGTATGATAGCCAATTAGACAACTCTCCACCAGAGACCAAGTGACAAAGACGTTAACAACTATAGGTCAGCGTACAGCCTTCAACAATTAGCAAAACCCATACCGCATAGTCAGCTATAACAGGCCCCGAAATAACAAATGTAAAACTTAGAATTCAAACGAGAAAAACTAAGTGCCTGATTTATGTACAAAACAATGAACGAAAAACACATATGATATACAGAAACACGACAACCACTGAATTACTGGCTCCTGACTTGGGACAGGCACATACAGAATGCCCCCCCTAACCTGAGACAGTGGTGTGACAGAACAACATAAGAACTATACAACTCAGTTGAAAAGGACTTAATTCATCAAACCGATACAAAGCTGAAAGAAAAAAAATAATAAAAACACAGACCGGACGTGGCAGGGTATGTATACGACAAAAAAGACAATGAGGACAGATCTGAAAGTACTCGCAGTTACTGACAGCTAGTTCCAAGCCAATAATAACTAATAAAAAATCATACATCTAAGTAGATTTTGCATATTCAATAAGTGCAGAGGCTTAAAAGTTATTGAAAGTTTGAAAACTGTATTAAATATTGTACTTTTATGTTTTTCGTTATTTATATTTAGCGGTAGATTTGGTTTATTGATTGTTTTTGTTAATTTATTTTGCAATTTTTATTGACTTGGGACTAAATAGAGACGGGAATATTGTATAAGACTAGTGTTGACTGTATGTTGCCCTCTAGATGTCTTTTGGTTATTTTTGGCGTTGGGTTGCAGTCACATTGACGCACGCATCATCTTTTAATCATAACTCAAAACACAACTATACAATGCTTGTGAAGTGCCTATTTTGCTGTCTATTGCCCCGGGGAGACAGCATGATTTATTGGGTAAGACATAGAATTAAGCGCTATAACTATAAAACAAACTTAAATTTGAGATGAAGAACAGCAATTCAAGCGCCGTTCCTTTGCTTATTGTGTATTGTTTTGCTGTGCATGTACTGATTTTGTGTCATGGATGGATACCCTATATCCTTAGTTTTTCTTTTAAATACTAGTAACCAGACCTTAATCAAAGATTCAAGTTATGAGAAAAAACAGACTTATAAATATTACCAAGGAGTTTATATGATATCATATAACCTCCTTGATATTACAAACGAAATATTTAGTGATATTAGAACAAAGACACACTTATGCACAAAAAAAAAACACACTCACTCCTTCATGAAAAAGGTTTAAAAAGAAATGAATCTAAAATTTAAAATAGAAGAAAATTGTAACATTTAGTAAACGTATCAAAACTGAAAGCAAATTTGTTATGAATTTATTATGATAAGAGACAAAAAGTACAAGGTGCTAATTGCCAGACATCGCTATTAACCACACACGCTGGGATGGCATAGATAACAACTGATACTCGAGTTATCAGTACTTGGAATGAATTTATCGATAAGATGGGATTACTTCCCTTAAACCGGACTAATTCTTGGCAATGAAGTTTTTGCGTTTTGGCCTTATATCTTAAACATTATAATAGATAGAT